CAGCCTCCAGTTTGCCTCCTCCACCCTGAGGGAGAGTTTCTTTCTTAGATTTTTGAGATACCTTGTCTGGATAGAAACACTGGCTCCCTTTTATCTGTGTTGACATCCATAGCAAATGATTTCTGTGCTGCACCCTATATGCATTTATTTCTTGCTTTTCTCTGGACAAGCTTGTTTCCCCCCCACCCCCCCAGATCATTGTGCTCTGTGCCCCTTTGTTCCTGAGCCTGTTAACCTGATAGAAAGCACTCGTTGAAACTATCCTTGCTTCATGTCTGTTGTTGTGATAAATCCCCTTACAAAAAACTTAAGGAAGGCTTATTTGGTTAACAATTCCAAGTCACAGTCTATGATTTCAGGGAAGCCAATGCAGGAACTCAAGCAGGTTGTCACATCACATGCACGGTCAAGAGCAAAAGCAAGTAAGTACAGGCCTCCAAGCCCTCAGCAAGCTTTCTCCCCTTTATTATAGTTCAGGACCACCTGCCTAGGGAATGGTGCTGCCCACAGTGGGCTGGGTCTTCCCACATCAATTGACAACCAAGACAACTACTCATGTCTGTTGGCCTACTCATGCTAAATAATTCATCATCAATACCCTTCCCAAGTGGTTCTGAGTTGTTCCAAGTTGACAATTAAAACTAATCAGCATAGGGCTCTTGGAGAGATGGCTCAGTGCTAAGAGCACATGCTGCTTTTGCAGAGGACCAGAGTTTGATTCCTTGTACCTACATTATGCGGCTCACATCACTTGCAATCCCACTTCCAGGGTATCTGACACCCTCTTCTAGGCTCTGTGGGGTCCCACATACACACGGTGTATACCCAGACACACACAACAGTGTTCAAATGCCTGAGTCTATGGGAGACATCTTACATTCAAACCACCAAACCGACCAGCCCAAATACCTATGCCACATCCTGAATGCTGTGCCATGTTGAGATTATTTCAGCAAATAAACAAGTTCACTGTTCTTACTTCAGTCTCCACAGAACCTCAGCTCAGGGACAAGAGCCATCCAAATTCTTTGCTGCAGGGTAATGATATTGCCCTCAGTTTCCAGTGTAGTCCTCATTTCCAACAGAGACTTCATCAGCCTGGCCATGACTGACAAACTTCCTTCCATCAGCATCCTAATTACAACCATGTAGGCAGTCCTTAATATGTCCTTGATCTTTCCTGGTCTCGTGTCTTTTGTACCCACACTAGAATTACCCACAATGCCCTACTTTTACAGCAGTTTAGCCCCATTTTCTTTATTATTTCAAATTTTATGTATATATGTGTGTGAGTGTGTGCATGTAAAGCCAGAAAGGGAGTTGGATGCCCTAGAGCTGAGGTTAGGTATGGGTGTTTGTGAGCTGCCTAGTGTGGGTGCAAAAGCAGAAAGTGTTTTTAACCATTTAGCCGTCTTCCAGCATAGTTTAGTCATTTTGTAACCACTCCTTCAAACCCTCCCATCCTCTGCCAGCACAGACCCAAGTCTATGTTAGGTATACTTAACAACAACGAGACTCTTGGTACCAATGTTCGATCTTTCTTTCTTTCTTAAAAGTTTTTATTTATTTAAAATTATTTTTTTCTTTTATTGAAAACAGATTTTTTTTTCCTCACATAATATATCCTGATTTTGGTTTCCTTTCCTCTACTCCTCCCAGTTCCTCCCCACCCCCTCCCATCCAGATCCACCCCCTTTCTGTCTCTCATTAGAAAACAAACAGGCTTCTGGGAGATGATAATAATAAAATAAAACAATGTATAATAAGATACAACAAAAACAGTTGCGTCAGGGTTGAACAAGATAAATGAACAGAAGGAAAATAGCCCAAGAGAAGGTACAAGAATCAGATACCCACTCGTTTGCACACTCAGGAATCTCATAAAAACACTAAACTGGAAGCCATAATATATCCACAGAGGACCTGGTGCAGGCTCAAGCGGGTCCTGTGAGTTCATATGTTCTTTGATCATGTTGGTTTAGAGGGCCTTGTTTTCTTGGTGTCCTCCATCCCCTCTGGCTCTTACACTCTTTCCACCTCATCTTCTGTGGGTCCCCTGACTCCTGAGGGGAGGGGTTTGATAAAAACATCCCATTTAAGAGTGAGTGTTCCAAGATCTCTCTCTCTCTTTCTGCATGATGTCTAACTTTGGGTTTGTTCTCATCTGCTTCAAGAGGAAGCTTCTCTGATGATGGCACTGACCAGGAGTATAGCAGAATGTCCTTAGGAGTCATTTTATTGCTACTCTTTTTGTTGTTGTTTTGTTTTGTTTTGTTTTTTCTTTTAAGAACATTTTTAGTATTTGGTTTTACTCTAGGCCCCTAGGCTATCTATCTAGTCTCTGGTTCTTGATCACCCAAGCAGTGTTGGGTATGGATTCCATCACGTGGCCTTAAGTCAAATCAGATATTGGTTGACTATTCCTACAAGCTTTGTGCCACCATTGCCCTAGCATACCTTGTGGCCAGGACACCACTGTGGATCAAAGGTTTTGCAGCTGTGTTGGTGTTTACCTTATTCTGTTGGTGGTGTGCAGAGTACCTACCTGCACCAAAGATGCTAGATGTAGGAGTCAAGGCCCCATGTGGTGCCAGCTTGACTTCTCCATGTTCAATGAGTTGTGTAGGTATTGTCTTCAGCAATGGGGCCTTGCTGTCCCAGGTTTGTGTAGAGTAATCTATTGTCCTGGCAACAGCTCCTGGCTTGTTTGGAGATTCCCCTGAGACCCTTTTGGCCAACAACTCAATTACATGTAACCCTATGCCTCTACAGGAAGCTTCATTTGGTGACAGGAAATGGCCAGATGGGACTCTGTCTTCCCCATCATTTGACGATTTCCTTTAGATCACCTTCATATATGTATATATTTTAGGAAGCTTCTACTGTATTCTGTTACCCTTCAAATGGCCCTTAATTTTAGCAGTCTCTTTCCATAACCTCTTCTTTGCCCCTTCTTCCTCCCCCTCCACACTTGATCCTGTTCCAGCTTCCCCCAACCATCCATACTATCTATTCTGATCCTCTTTTTCTAATGAGATCTATCCATTGGTACCAGTTTTCTATATTAGTCAGCATTTCATTACCATAATGAAATACCTGAGGCAAGATGATCTTGAAAGTTTTATTTTGTTCAAGCTTCTGCAAGGGCATGGTAAAGGGGCTTTCCACTGGTGATGGCCTCCTTGCTTCGGAGTCCTGGGGCAACAAAGGGCATCCCCACGGCAGGAGACAGGATGAGTGTAAAGCCATCAGGAAACTTGTGGAACTTTATCCTTGTGACCCTATTATCAGGTTAGCTTAGCCTATGGGGCTGGCTGTGAGGGAATTGTCTCAATTGTTAATTGATGTGGAAAGACCCAGCCCACTGAAGTCAATGCCATTCCATAGGCAGATGGTCCAGAACAGTAACAGGAAGGAGAAAGTTAGCTGGGAGCAGCCAAGCAAGTAGGCCTGCATGTATTTCTTTCTCTTTGCTCCTAGAGGGCCTGTTTCTGAACATCACAGTCAGATTAAGTTTGTATCCTCTAATCCTCACAATGGGGATCAAACTGCGACACTTTACATTAAATTTCAACTTAACTGCATCCAACCCATATCATTGTTTCTGGTTAAGGAACTAACCTTAAAGCCAAAGGCAGAGAAGATCGTGGGGAGGCTGCCCTGGGATTCACTGAAGTTGCTATTCAAATAACGAGTGATTAGGGGCATTTTGTAGGGTTTTGAGTCGCTTCTTAGGTATCACTTAAGATCACCTTGGGAGATTCCATTGCAAAACTGCATGGTGTCCTGTAGCATGTGGTTTGTGTAACCAATGTGGTGTCGCTTTCCTCAAACCAGAACCCCTGGGTTGGAAGCCTATGGGGTGGATGTGGGGTCACCACTCCTTGTAAGGATAGCTAATGAGCCATCATAGAAGTTCTGCCTCACGCCTTCGAAGTCGTTTCCCTGGGTTGATGCTCTCAGTAGCCAACAGGGGAAAACCCTGGTCAGAGAACAGAGTGTAGAGTGTACTACTACAGGGCTAGAAGCTGTGGTGACAATCCGGCTACTTTGGGCTCCTCTGCTGCTGGGTTAAGAGAACCTAACGCGTGCTGGCTGAGTAGTGCTAAAATGAAGAAGTAAGGATGGTGATGCTCGTTCCAGGCAGGTTTGGGTGGTCCTGGCTCTCTTACCCCACCACGAGAGTGATACAAGAAATGGCAACAAGAGTCTAGAGGAGATTGTCCCGGGAATGAAGAGCTGGGACAGCAGAGCAACCATGGCTGTTTAAAGCCTCACACACCGTGACTTGGTGATGAGCTGCAGAGATGAGCGATCTCTGATGGCATCTGGTGGATTTTGTTTTCATGCTGTATTGCGCACCTTTTACAGACTCGATCTCACACTCCTCCTTTATCCCTGTCTTCCCACCGCCATTGTGTATGGGGTCCTATATTCCTTTCTCCTTCCCGTCTTACTTCTCCCTTTCCTTTTCCCTTCTTTGGTGTTTCTGTTGAACCAGAGTCTTTCTATTTAGTCCATGCCGGCCTCAAACCCACAATCCCCTTCTCTGCCTCTTTGAGTGCTGGGGTTACAGATGCATATGTACTACCTCGCCCCGTGTATCTAGACATATCTGGGAAGAGGGAATTTCAGTTGAATAATTAATTGCCTTCATCAGATGCCCTGTAGGTAAGTCTGTGGGGGGCATCTGCTTGATTGACAATGATGTGGAAGGGTCCAGCCCACTGTGGGCAGTCCTGCCCTGGGTTGTATAAGAAGGCAGAATGGGCAAGTCATGAGGCACAAACTAGTAAGCAGTGTTCCTATGTGGTTTCTGTTTGAGTTCCTACCTCCAGGTCCCCATCCTGCTTGAGTTCCTGAGCTGGCTTTCATTAATGATGGACCGTTACCTGAAAGTGTAAGCCAAATGAACCCTATCCCCCCCAGGTTGGTTTGGGTCAGTGTTTAATCACCAAACTAGAACGGCCTGTCTATGTTCTTCAATGTTGATTTCACAGGGTGAAGCAGAGCGAGATGACAAGAATGGAACCAGGGAAGAAGTGCTTGCCACCAGAGCCCCCGAACTTTCTGTCTCGGGACCAAATGCTTGTGACGTTGGGGGAATCCCCTAGGGAGAAAACCCCATGTGTCTTCAGATGTGGAGTGCTTTAGTCCTCCTATTTGAGGAAGTGAATGTGTGGGAAGGAGCGAGCATGCACATCAGAAACACAAGATGGCTTTAACAGGCTTCTTCGCCATGTGTCTGGCGACCAGTTTCAGGATGGCTCTGATTTGGGGGGACCCTCTCTTTCTGGGTCTGGGTGTGAGGCAGGGTCACCTCCCTCAGGGGAAGTTCTCTTATAGGCTGCATTTGGGGCCTCAGCTTCGGTTAGGTCAGTGTATCTCCTTGGGACTTAGCAGCTCGTACAGATTGTGTGACCATTTAAGAGCAGGTGAAAGTTCTCTGTAGAGGTGGCTGAACTGTCGTGTGGCGCTGGTGGCTACAGGAGCAGGAGTTTTGGATCCTGTTTCCCACCGTGCTCTGTCACCATCCCCCAGTAGGTGATTAGGAGGCCGTGGTAAGCATAGTAAGATTTCTCCCTCACTTTGCAACACAGATGAACCATGGTATGGTAGGATAGCCACTCCCAGGAGGGCCTCAGACTCCCCAGATCCACAGAGACAGCAAGCAGGACAGGGAGCCGGGAGCTGGGGAGGGAGCAGGGAGTCAGTGTTGAATGGGGACAGAGTTTCAGTCTGGGAAGATGGAAAGTTCTGGAGGCAGATGCCGTGGGTGGATGTTAATTCTGCTGAGCTGTGCACTTGAACGTGGTCAAATGGCCAGTGTCAGGCACAGCGCATTTGACCAGTATTAGAAGAAAGAATTCTTGTTCAGACACGATCATCGTGTGTCCCTCAAAGCAAAGAGCTTCACCAGCCAGTGGAAGCTGGAGAATGCAGAGCACAAGGAAGGCCAGGCCTGCCCCATGGGTCTGAAGAAGAGGCTGGAGGGCAGTGAACCAAATTCACAGAGCAGAAAGTTGTCCTAGCTGGCAGCCGCCGAGGAGAGAACACAGCTGCAATCAATTAGGTTCTTCCAGCAGCCAGAGTGAGCCCAGATGGGGGAGCTTCTAGAAGCCTCCGAGTAGGGCCCAGCTAACCTGTCCTCTTGCCTGGTGGAGAACCTGCCCACCCTATCTGGGCTCTGACCCACAAGCTGCTGCTACTTCAGGTTGCTGTTGTGAGCGCGCGTGCGCACGCACGCACGCATGCACGCACACACGCGCTGCAGGCATGGCCCCCAGGGCAGGGCTCAGTGGCTGGATTTCTGGGAAGTGATTAATATGGCATTTTTAAAAAGGAAACTAGAAAGTGAGGCCCCCTTTGAGGAAGAGGTCACTGAGTGGTGCCTTGAGAAGGGGGTTTCTTTGTCTTTGGCCCTTCTCTCTACTCCTGGCCACCATGAGGTGTTAGCTTGACTCCACTGTACACATAGCCTGCTGTGTTCTGCCTCATTGGGGCCCCCAAACAATGAAGCCAGCTAACCATGGGCAGAGACCTCTAAAAACCCGAGTCAAACTAAGTTGACTTTCTCAGGTTTGAGTTGGTTTTCTTCCCTTCTTTCTTTAAGTTGACTTTCTCAGGTATTTTGTCACAGTGACAGACACAGACTTTGCCACCAGGTTTATGCTCTTCCCTTCCCAGCATAGGACATGAATGTGACAATGTCTGGAAGGGGCAGGCGCAGGACTACATCTGACCAGGGCTCCTGCCCACCCTGTGCTGGTTTCCTCTGTCCTTGACCTAGTCTGTCCTGTTCCACAGACTCACCAATTCACCCTAGGTGTTTCTATCTGTTCTGCATGGAGCTGTTTACCTGATGTCATAGTTTTAATCTGGTGTCTTCCACAGGCTCCTGAATGTTTGCTCTGTGTCACGGGTTTGATGTGAAATGTCTCCCACAGGCTCATATTCTGAATGTTCTGTCCCCAGCTAATGATGGTATTGTAGAGCCTGTAGGAAGTAGAGTCTGGCTAGCAGGAGGTCATTAGGGGTGGGCTTTGGAAGGTTATACCTGCCTGTGGTGGTTTGAATTAAAATGGCCCTCATAGGCTCATAGGGAGTGGCACTATTAGGAGGTGTGGCCTTATTGGAAGAAGTGTGTCATTAGAGACTGGCTTTGAGGTTTCAGATGCTCAAGTCAGGCCCAGCATCACTCTTTCTTCCTACTACCTGCCAATCCAGATGTAGAGCTTTCAGCTACCACTCCAGCACCATGTCTGCCTGCATGCTGCCATGCTTCCCAGCATGATGATAATGGACTAAAAACCTCTGAACTGTAAGCCAGCCCCAGTTAAATGTTTTCCTTTAGAAGAGTCGCCGTTGTCATGGTCACAGCAATGGAAACCCTAAGACACTGCCCCTGGTTCCACTCGACCTGTTCTCTGCTATTACTTGACTTTTCTCTGGGAAACACGAGCGAGAAACCAGTCACTCCAGGTGGGGCATGGACAATAGAGAGGATTCTACTCAAGTTTCAACTTGAAGCAATGGATTTATTGGGGTGAGGAGTTACTTATAGGGAGCGTGGGAGACCCCCAAACAGTGTTCTTACCTAAAAGCCCCACCCCATGATAGGTGACAATCTCATGGATGCTGGACCATGGAGACCTGGCTTCAGTTAACTTTTCACACTCTGGCACCTCCCAAGATCCTAACAGTTTCTTGGCAGGAGGGAGTGGTAGCTGGAATTGCAGGCGAGGATATGGTGACCTCTTCTCCCTAAACTAAGAAGCATTAACAGCCCCATGGCCATTACCAAAAACCTGGCTATTGCCATGTGGGTCCATGCATTTTGTTGTCGTGACTACAGAGCAAAGGTGGTCCATGATGACCCAGAGGAAGTTGGTTTACCTCAACATCTAGCCTCCAGCTTTTGCCACCTTATATTCCTGCTGACATAGACACAGCCACTCCTCCATGCCTTTCCTGTTGTGATGAACCAGAATCTCTCTGAAACCATGAGCAAGAATAAATCTTCCCTGTGTCTGGTAGGTGTCTGGCCACAACAATGTAAAAGTAACTAACACATCTGGTGGAATCTTCTCCCCTTCCGTTCCCCCACCATGTGGATCATGGGAGGGCGCAGGGCCAGAGTCTTCATCTCTGTGGGCAAGCAGACAGTACACATCCTACTAGACCCAATGAGCAAACACCTGTGCTTCAGAGGGGTGTCGAATAGTTAGCAAACGCTTGTGTTTCAGAGGGGCGTTGAGGCACTGGCCCACCCTTGGTCCATCTGAAGAGGCTGGGTTCCTGGGGCTGGCAGCCATGGGCTCTGAGAAGCAAAGGGAGATAGTGAAGTTGTTCTACATGTTCTAGGAAGAACTGGATATCTGTTCCAGAATGTTCTATAGGGACTATGAGGCTGTTATAGAACATCATAGAAGGGACTGCAAGTCCATCCCAGAATAGTCTAGAGTGGGTGGTGAGGCTGTTTCAGAATGTTCTAGAAGGTACTGTAAAAGGGACTGAACTATAATTCAGTCAGTGGCATGTACACATGCCCCTTCTCCTGCCAATTAAATAAAGTATAAATGAATAAATGTTAAAAAAAAATGTTTGCCTTGCAAGCACAAGGACCTGAGTTTGATTCCTAAAACCCTAACAATGCTAGGCATTGTGGTGCATGCTTGTAATCCCAGTACTGGGGAGGTAGAGACAGAAGGCTCCCTTGGGCTCTCTAACCAGCCAGTCTAGTTTAATTGGTGAGCTCCAGGCCAGGGAGAGACTCCATTTTAAAGCAGGACAGCATTCCTGAGGATGACAACTGGTATTGTCTTCCAGCCTCTACACACTCATGTGTGCACACATATGAACATTTAAAAGTATGCCCCAGAATGCTCTGAAGGGAATGGCATGACTGTTTTCAGAATGGGCAACGCAGATGCTGCACATAGGGATCCAGATGTCAGAGCATTGAGTAGGTGGGTGGGTGGGCGGAGCTTGCCGACAGGAAGGTCCCTGTGTTCTGGGAACAGAAGGGCTTTCCTGGCTGCTGGGACTGGTCCTTCCTGACTCTGTCAATAAGGAGTCCTGGGGTTCCTTAAGCCCAGGTATCCAGGCCTGGGAGCTCTACTGGGTGGCAGGAGGTGGGGTGGGGGCTGGAATCTTCATATCTCTGTGTTGGTGGCAGAGTGATGTCAGTTCTCATCAGAGACTGGAAATGGGCAGAATAGAGGAGGGCATGTTGTCACCCCACAATTCCAAAGAGCTTCCTATGGAGGCCACACCTGCCCTACTGGGCACAGGTAACACATCCACGGTGTGAGACTAGATATACTGGGATATATAGTGGTGCTGTGAGACTCTTCCAGAGAGAGGGGGGCCTACCGTGGGCTCAGGGTGTATCTGCCTTTTCGATCCAAGCCACAGTAGGAGTGAATGGCAAACCAGAGGAAGGCGCAGAGCATCATGGCATATACCTGGAGCAATCAGGAGAGATACCCAGGAGTCAGCAGCCATCAGCAGTCCTGGTGGCAGACCCTTACCACTTCCAGGGAAGTTTCTATGATTGGGAAATGGGGGGCATGAGATAGACACCAGACCACCTCCCTGGGTCAGGGGCTGGCTTCTCCTGCTGACTGGGCCTGGAAGATCCTGGTAGTGCCATGACTAGAGTGTTGGCCTGAGGCAGTAGCCCAGGACTGCTTCTGTCTGGGAAGGGGCAATGCAGGGCAGGATAGAAGGAGGACAAGGAAGGAACTGGTGGCTACCGTGAGGGCCAGGCTGGTGCAGGTCAGGGTGGAGGCGATTCTGTAGTGTGTCCACAGAAACTTCCCAATGCTCTGTAGGCAGTCCTGGACAGAGGCAACATGCATGGTTGATTGCCCACCCTGGCTGGCCCTCCCTGCACAGTGTGCTCAGCTTTCCCCATTCCACTTTTCTCCCAGAAGCCCCTGGGGCTGCATGATTTGCTCAGCCAGTGCCGAGGCCAGGGCAGTCAAGGTATGCACCTTCCCAAGCAGGACTACTGAGCTCTCTGGAAAAGAGGCTTCATGAACCTTGAGACTGAGGGCATGGTGCCTGTCTCTGTGGGGACAGTGACCCACTGCCCTGGGGGCCAGGGAGGGCCTTCCTCCTCTGTTCTAGCTGCTCTGAGCTCCTCCAGTGGGCTACTGTTTGTCCCCAGGCAGTCCAGAGTGAAAGTACTCTAGTCCCCAGAGACTGGTGAGGACAGAGAATCTGGAACTGCTAGACTCTTTGCTGTGGGTCTGACATCAACAGAGTCTCCCTTTCTAGAAACAGGAAGGTGACAGCTGACCTCTGGGACATTCAGATGCTGGCATTTTTGTTGGGGATAGCATTTGGGGAGGATGAAGATAGGCTGGACCATGTGGAGCCCTACAGGGTACTTTCTTGCCTTTTGGCAAACAAGTGGTCCTCTTGCTGGCCTGCTCTGGCCTTGCTTCTCTCCTACCAGGGGTCCTTTGCAGCCCGGTTCTTGGCCATCCTGGGGCAGGAGGCAGGTGCTGAGCTATTTTGTATTTCAGACCTGAGGACTGTTCTTGGGTGGATGGGACTCCCTGACTCTCAGCCCCTTCCCAGCAGGCCAGCTCCCTTCCCTGCTGGGCCTTGAGCCATTCCCCACCCTCTTGTTTCTTGGAGGGTAGCCAGACATCTCTCCCCATGAGATAGGGCTGGTTTGTTTCCAAGATAGCAGGGGGATGGGACAAAGAGGGGGCTGGGTAGGGAGAGAGGGCCAGGGTGGGGGGTGAGTGAGTCAGAGCCTAGTCCTCAGGGCAGAAGGGCTACACCCTGGCCTTCCAGTAGCACTTTCTGCGCTTTCTGGGGACCCCTTCTTACTCCCCCTAAATAGCTGATCACTCTGCTATGTAGGGCCTTAGCTTTGAGCTTCTAGAAGCTTCAGAGGGGAGAGTGGGGGAGGAGCTTGATGGCCTGGGGAAGCCTCATGAAGGAGGGGAAGAGTGGGCGGGCACATGCCTGATGCTAGCCTGCAGAAGGGAGTTGGGGGTCAAGTTGGCCACCCCACGAGTCCCCGCCCCAGGGGGAGGCCCCACCATGGGGAGGGTACATCCCTGAGACTTGAGGGCAGATTCCAAGATGTGAGAGGCCGCAGTGACAAAGAGGATGCAGATGTCCCTTCACAGGTATCTACCTGTGAAGTGCCCAGCCCTCACTGGACTTGAGTGCAGAAGCCCTCATCCCCCTCCTCCTCACCTCTCTCATGGCCTCCTGGCCCTGGCATGGGATGGCTCTGGTGCTCGCCAGAAGCCCAAAAGGAGACTTCTTCCCACAACACAGAAACTGTAAGACAGACCAGAGAGGAGCATAGCGTGGGCAGAACTCACTGATGGGAAACTAAGGCACCAAGGCACACGTAACTTAGGTGATTCTGCAAACTGGGCCCCCAAGAGACCAGAGCCAGGGCTTGGGATCACAGCTGCTTCTGAAAAACTAGCCACCAGTGACTTGGCCCTGGTGATGGAACAGCATGATTCTCTGAGGACCTCTTCCCCTTACAGCAGGTCCCTGCTGCCTGCCTGGTGGCCGGACACCTGCTTCCTTGAAGAATACCAATTCCTTCTTGGGATTCTCATTCCATGTTGAACAAGGGCATTGCCCTTTGATTTTGCACTAACATTGGGTAGCCAGTCCTATTAGGGACAGAGGGGGATGGGTGAGATCTCAGTCATCTACCTGCAGTGGGACCTGTGTCCTGGGGTCATCTCTTGAAGCCTGGCCAGGATGGCTGACTCTAGAGGATGTCTGGCACCCATTCTCTGGAGTACAGCAAGTATGACTACCCTGTCCCTGGCTCACCGTGTCCTGGATGGTGGCCAGCTCCTGCCACCAGCTGCTAGATGGGCTCTTCATTGCCTGGTCATACACGAGGTCATAGGTGTCCAATACTGCATCCTCCACCTGCACCAAGAGCATATGGATATAGGCAATAGAACCAGCCGGCTGAGAAGTGTGGACAGAGGTCTGGACTAGTTCCTCTGTTCCCTAAGGTGCTTGTGGACCCTTCTCCAGAACTACCCGGAATACTGGGAAGGTGAGCTCTAGTCTTGGACCAGGGAAGATCAGGGGATCTGGGGTCAGATCCAGGTAGACAAGGCAGAGGAAGAAGGAAGCTGGGTGGGGCTAAGGCTGGCCCTGCTTTTGCTCCACACACAAACAGCCTAGACTTTTTTTGCTTCTGTCCCCTAGCTTTGTTTCTCTGCTCTGTTCAATCCCTACCCCAAGATGTTCTCCCCTAGGCTGAAAATGTTTTCAGAGACAAGCTGGAATTTCATCTCTTCCAGGAAGGCATTTGGAAAGCAGGGCTCACTGGTCTCCTGGCCCAGGCCAAGTCTTCCAATATCTTTCTGCCTTGAAGACCCTGAATCCTCCCCACTCCCAGCCTCAAGAAGGCCAGTAGCCAGGTCACACAGAGTTGTCCTGGATGGCTGGAGTGGTGTTGAAGCCCTATGCCTCCTCTGGTCACTCCTGCCTTTCAGAAAGGAAGGGTTTCTGTCCCATGGCATGATGTCCACTATGGGCCTCACTCACCAGCTGCCTACAGGTCATAGTAGGCAGGTAGGCAGTTAGAGGTGCTTGGTTAGTCTAGCCCAGGCCCAAGGCCCCTGCAGGAGGCAAGGGAACTCCCTGCTAACTGCTGATCCTGGCACCGATTTCTCCCTCTCCATCCATGCAGCAGAGCCAGACATCCCCATGAGTCATCCCCAGCTCAGCCTGCCCCGGCCCTCCCCCACCCAGGGCAGGTGCCAAGCTGGCCTTGGTGGCTGGTCATTCTGGGCCAGAGCCCTCTCATGGGCTCAGCTTCTTCAAGCCTGTGGGGTTACTGTGTCCTTAAGAGAGCAAATCCTGGGGAGGGCTGGGAACGCCTGGAGCTGGTGGGGTGGGTGGGGCAGGTAGGCGAAACAAGCAGGCACTACTGGACTAGCCCTTTTGTACCTCTCCCTAGCACAATTGACTTTATTTCCCTCCTCAGTCCTACCACTTTTCAGGGATGTCCCAGTGCCCAGGGGCCCTCTGTGCACTGTCATTCCTGCAGGACAATAGAGATGACATCAGCTCTAGAGCTCAGCTCAGCTTGGTTCTGCCCAGCATCCCACCCACCATGAGCACAACAACAGAGGCCTGCCCAGACCTCAGAACCTGACCTTGGGGCCTCGGAGACCAGGAGGGACTCTCTGAGAGCCCTGCACTGGGGCGGGGGTAGTACATTGCCATCTGCACCCATTTTGGCACTCAGGGTGCTCTGTGAGAGACTTGAGGCTGGAGTTTTGTTTGCTTGTTTGTTTGTTTGTTTGTTTGTTTGTTTGTTTGTTTTTTCCATAGGAATCTGGAGGGTAGACCACAGGCTTCTTAAGCCAGAGCCCCAAGCCTCCACATCACTTACCCAGGGGTCCCTCCTAGCAGGGATCTGTGTCTGCAGGGTTGGCAAGCAGCTTCTGGGGTACAAACTCTCCTTTGTAAGTGTGTTATCCAGCGTGGAGGGTGGAGAAAGCCCTGAGTATATGAAGTCCTGAGTGGGTGTTTGTTGTCAAGGACCAAAGCCTCAGACCCACGAGAAGCTGGCAGAGCTTGCTACCCTGTGAGTCTCACTGAGACTAGCTAAAGCTGCCTGGCTGTCCAGCTGTATCCGATAAACCCTCTCTCCTTGTTTATCTGCTTGTAATAACCCCGCCTCCTTGTTCAGCTGTGTATAATAAACGCACTGAGCTGCTGGGGGTGAAGGGACTGCGGGGTTCCCACCAGAGGGTTCAAGCCACCCGATTCCAGCTTTCCTGTGTGTCTGTCCTTTCTTCACGCCCTTGCCGCCCCTGTCAGGTCAGTGCCTGGAGCTGTGCAGGACACGGCAGCCAGGTTATGTGCAGATTGAAGACTGGTGTCTAGGGTGTCCCCCCGTCTTTCTCCCTAAGGCCAGGACACTGTGATATCTGACTGGGCTGGGTGACTTCCCTTCCCTCATGTTTGCCAGCTCAGGGCAGTACAGATGGGCCATACAGCCATGGCCAGGAGAGCCCCACGCGGAGCTGCAGGTGGCTTGAGGGCCAGCGCTGGGTCCTGAGGCCACATAGACATGTCTGTTCTATGCTTGGTCTTGACATGAATTATTAAGGAAAGCTGAACAATTCATTCTCCACTCCCCGGGGACAGTGGGAGATTGTGGCCCAGTAGCTCTGAAGCCACCGTGAGGGTGTAATGAATAGTCCTATCACTCTGTATTCATCACATCGCAGGCTGGGCCACGCTGCTATCCTCAGCAACCTTGGATGCCTGCCTAGACCTATGTCCTGGGAGGGGCATCAGGAAGGAGCACCCTATCCTCACTTCAGGCCAGAGCCTGTGTCTACAGAGACAGACAAGGTCTCTTCCTTCGTCCTTCAGCTTCTTGCTAGACCCTTGCTTTAGGATGTCTTGGGGATCTTTCCAGGGAGAATTTGGAGAATTCTAGCTTTCTTTGGGGAAGCTGGGAGTGACTTCAAAGCATTACTAGTTGATTCCTGTATCCTTTCTTACCCTTGGGGCTGGGGGCAGCTGGGATGACCAAGTCTAAGGCCGTGACCTATTGGGCCTGGATTGACCCACTGGTAGGGAGAACATGGGATGATGGGAGGATGTTTTGGTGATTCTGCACAAGCTGTGCTTGGTACCACACATGGCCTCATTCCAGCCCGGGCCTACCTAGAACTAGGTCCACATTCCAGACAACCTGGAGCACGGAGGAGCCTGACCACCCCTCCACCATTGCCTCATTCTCCACCACGCAGCCACACTCCAGCAGGGCCTTCTACTCTCCACGGAGAGAAGCCGACACAGGGGCCCAGCGGGGACAGCGGACCTGCCCAAGGCTGGCCTTCTGCCTTTGACTTCAAACCCAGGGTGCTTTTCACCTCCAGGTAGCTCACCGGGGCTCACATGGGCCCTCTTGGAAGTCAGAACTCCAGGACAACAGATAGGCCAGCAGGCTAGGGCCTGGGAGGAAGCCCTGGCCCACTCAGGGTCGGGCACGCCTTAGAGAACTGCCCTAGTTATCAGTCTTACTGGGATTGGAGTAAGAGGTCCCTTCCCTTCTGTACATTAAACCCTAGTTGCTGTCTGTCCTCTGGTCACTGTAAGGCCTCTCTGTCTGTCCCCAAGTTTAGGGCTCAGAATGTAAACACAGCTTTAGAACAGAGAGATGGGCCACAGCTGCTCCAGGCTAACCCGAGGCCAGCCCCTGATACCAGGCAGCTGTCTTGACTGAGGCCACCCACACTGTGACTCAGGCCTCCAGCCGTCCAGACCACCCATCACTGGACAGGGAATGTTCCGCCAAAATGCTGCTAGGCCCTGCTGCCTCCGGCAGGACACTGGGACACCCATGCCCTCAAGCTGTTGTGGGAGTTCAACCCTCTTCCAGATTCTAGACCACAGAAGAAATATTTTTTCCTTTAATATTAGGGTTGGGGTGAGTCTTTGGGGATCTCCTTGGGCAGGAGTGACGCAGAAACTCTGAGCAAAGAGCCTGGCTGGTCCAGATAGAGGGTCCTGGCTGCACTCACCTGGGTGGGGTTGTGGAATCTCCAGAATGCCATCTGCACCAGGACACAGAATGACAGGGCAAAGCACAGGAACCCCTAGGGGACAGAGATGGCCGAGTCACTGCACAGTTAGGTATGTGGTCTGGGGAGGTAGGGCAGGGGTACCAGGTAGGTAGCTTCCCCAGGTGGCTGGGCTGAGCTGCTGGCTTGAGCCCCATTAAATACTGCTCCCCAGGCTCTATGTGGCTCCAGAGGACCTGTGACCTAAGGTGTCACATGCTTCCCCAGGAATGGAGGCCTTTCCAATATGGTGGAGACCCTAGCTCACTGAAGCTACTTCTAGAAGGAACAGCAACCCCAGGAAGCCCAGGCAGTGCCTCCCTGTATCCGAAATGTTGGCAGCAGGACCCCCTGCCCCAGCCCTTTAAACATTTTTTTAGATTAAAAAAAAATCTACATTTATGGGGAGGCCAGAAGAAGGTGTTGGATCTTCTGGGACAGGTGCTACAGGTAGTTCTGTGTGCTTCCTGGGAACTGAACTGGGATCCTCTGGGAGAGCGGCTAGCCCTTGTGACTGCTGAGCCATCTCTCCAGCCTCGCTCACCTCACCGTCCATCCCCTCCTTTGAGGTAGAGCCTCCTGCAGCCCAGGCTGGCCTTGAGCTCGTGATCCTCCTGCCTCCATCTCCTCAGTGCCATGATTACAGATGTATGCAGCCACTACGTTTTATTCAGTGTTAGTGACTTTACAAGGGTGTCATGGGGGCTAGGCAAGCACCCTATCAACTGACCCACACCCCAGCCAGAAATGTCTCCCTTGAAGGTAGAGAATGGCCACCTCATACAGGGTGCCTTCTGTGGGCTCTTTGTTGTTCTGTTCCTGAAAAACGTTTCCAAGGAGATCCTAACTTCTACAGTCTGACTCATAGAGGACCACAGGCCACAACCCCAGGCATAGGCTGGACACCCCAGAGACTATATGACCTCTTCCCCTCATGAGTTTTCTACCCTTGCTCTACGCCACTGCATGGGTCTCTATGGTCATCCCACTGCCACCCCTCACCCCAAGTGCTAAAAAGGGACTTCTTTACACACTCCACCCTTTCCTTCTCTCTTTTAGTCGGGGTACAACTTCTTACTTCCTACGGAAGCTAGCGGTCAGTGGAGATCTTCTCCCTGGACCGTGTACTGGTACAAGTTCCTACTCTTCTGTGAATAGTTTCACAGGGTCACTCTAGACTAGGAACCCTGTTCCTCAATAGCACGCCTCAAAATTCCCATCCAGTGACCTCCGATCTGGGTACCCTCCGCACCCTGCCTAGCACTTTTGATGGTCAGCCTCAGCGCGATGCACATAGGTCCACTCAACACACAGAGGCCCCTGTGTGACCACTGAGTCTTCTGTATCAACCACCACCCCACTCCCAAGTGTCACTAGCCTGTCACTCAACGGATATGGGTTGCTGTGGCCTGGCTGTCTCAACCCAGCCTCACTCAGGGATAACCCCCGTGAGGAAAAGTGACCAGTATGCAGAGCAACCTCCAGTCGTAGGCCAGGATGATGGGGACAAACAGCCTGTGCCAGGGCCAGCTTAGCTCTGCCAAGTGTATGGAAAGAGCTAGGGTCACCCACCGGCACTGCGCCTCAAACTTGGGTGGGGGTGGGCTCTGTCGGGGTGGGGTGCCCCCTCCCCTGCTTCCTCCTGCCTGTCCCAGAGCCGGCACCACTATCTTGGATTGGCCCTGGGTGCCTGCTGCTTCTGCTCCCACCTCTCTTTGTCCTTCCTGCCCCTCCTCCCTGCTCCTGCCTTCTCTCTCCTCCACCTTTCCTTCCCTCCGTCTCCTCCTCCCCCCTCTTCTCTCTTGCTGGCAGTTGAGGGCTGCCTTCCCCATCTGGAAGCCATTCCTCAACTCTGCCTCCCAGCTGAGGCTGTGAGCCAGCCCAAGAGTCCAGCCCTTTCCAGAAACCGTTTCATTCTCAAGAGGGAGTTTCTCCCTCCCTCCCACTCTGTCTTTGTCTTTCTCTGTCTCTTTCTCTGTCTCTCTCTGTCTCTGTAACTGTCTGTCTCTGCCTCTGTCTCTCTCTGTCTCTGTAACTGTCTGTCTCTGCCTATCTCTCTCTCTCTCTCTCTCTCTCTCTCTCTCTCTCTCTCTCTCTCTGTGTGTGTGTGTGTGTGTTTGTTGTGTGTGTGTGTGGTGTGTGTGTGTGTGTGTGTGTGTAGAAAGGGTCTTAAGATCTGCATAGTGCAGAGAGAGGTTGGGCCAGGCCTAACTGTGACCATTTTTCTCTCCACTCATTCTAAATGAAAATGAACGGATAAATAAACTTGTAAACAACTTGAGTCTGCTTCCTGCAGCTAGTGAGCTCTTTCATTTCCTGTGTTGCAGAAGGTGGTGCAGGAAAGAGCAGAGAGGGGGCCGTGGGCACAGAGTCACGGTGGGGGATGTTGCCACTCCCTAGACCCCTTTCTATGTGCTCTGACGTGAAGGCCAGGTACAGCACACAGGCAGCACACAGGGCAGGCAGAGGCAGACGGCACCCACCGTGCGCACAGGCACTGATATAAACACCACACAAAGGGGCTGTGACCAGTGGAACTCCCAGTGACCCTGTGGTGGCTGAACTGGGCTTTACTGTCCCCGCTGGGGTAGAGGGTGCTGGGATTCAGCAAAGTGCAGAGCCCACACGGGTCCTGGAGTGACTTTGAGAACATAGTTCTGAACAGGAGGAGTCTGGATGTGCCTTTTAGCCTGACCCACATAACCGTACCGCACCAGGCCCAGAGTCTGTTAGGGATGTGGAATGGAAGACTTGGGAGGCCTGGGTGGGTTCTAATGCTCCTGGAATCCTTTGCCCACAAATCAAGTGCCAAGCAGGACATGGGAGGAGCTTGGGAAGGCTGAGAGGGAATAGGCTGATCTGGAGCTGGGCCCCTGGGCCCACCTGCCTGCCGCCTCCTGCTTCCCAGTGCTGACTCTGGTGCCCCCTGGTGGCTGAAGTTACACCCAGGCGCAGGCCTCTCGGGCTGGCTTCTGCATACCCCTGCCTCCATCTTGTCTTTCCTCCTTGTTTCCCTCTAGCAAGGCGCAAATCGTCTGGGGTCCACCAGCTCTGTGACTTCTTCACTAGGGCCTCCCTCTGGGCCCTAAGTCCAGGCTATCTTTGTTTAGTGTTCATTCATGCCAACATTATCCCCACCCTGCCCCTGTGTCATCAGATCAAGAATCCTGGTGAGGTGGGGGCTGCCAAGTTCTGCCTAGTCCACCACGCAGGCCCACCCAGGTCTGTCTGGTCCCTGAAGCGGCTCTGGGTAGGAGGTGACTCTGTCCCTGTCTTTGGAAACCAAGGGTCGTCAGCAAACGTACTGAGCATGAAGACAGGATGCAGAGTTTAGTTTCAGTCTATCCAGGAAGCAAAGCCTCTGGCTCAGGTTCCTGAGGGTTCCTGGGTTCCCCCTGTCACTCACAGGCAGAGGGTGGAAGTCCTACAAGCAGGGGCACAGGGATGGGTGGAGGAGGGAAATGAGATCATATGCCTGGAATGGAGGTGGGGAGGGGGCTGCAGGTAAGAGACCAGGGGACCAGGAAGGAGCTGCCCCGGTTCAGGTGACTGGGAAAGCCTGGATCAAACAGGGACAGGGTGGCCATGGGAAGAGTCCTGGCAGATAGAATCTGGTTGTAGGGGCACACTAAGGCACCCATATAGAGAATAGTTACGGCACCAGCAAGGGCTTTCCTCCATGGGATTGTGAAACTTCCCTTCAATGGCTAGGCAGGGATAGCGGACCCGTGAGAAGGAAGCCCAGGCTGCAGAATCAGCTTCGGGACCTCCTTGTCCCTGGTTGGTCTCCTAATGAGAAGTGGTAGAATTCATCCAGCTCTGGCTAGATATCAGAACCAGACCCTGTTAGGGCCTTTGGAGATGGCCCCAGGACTGAGAGTGCCAACTCTCTTTCAGGGGCCCTACAGAACCATTATTAGATCTGAGGAAGCCCTATGGAGACTTCTAAATGACCCAGGTGGAGGATCCTGACTGGTCCAGGTGGGAGGGTCCTGACTGGACAAGTGGAAGGTCCTAACTGTGTAGGTGGAGGGACTCCCTGGTGCATATCCCCTGACCTTTGCTTCTTTCTGGAGACTTCTGCTGGGGTCGGGCAGCTCCCCAGGTTTACTTCTCTCCAGCTCTTGTCCCTGCCTGAGAGTCGGAAGCTGGGGTCATCTGGCAGCACACAGAACTTACCGCAGCCATGAGGCCGTGGGCCTCCCTTACTGTGGCTATGGTGCTCAGGGCAGCGCCCAGGCTCAGTAGACCTGCTAGGCTGATCCCCACGTAGAAGGCTGTGGGAAGGGAGAGGCAGAGGGTAAGGGATCGAGCGTGGGGACTGGGCATGGAGGTTGGATCTGAAATCGACTTCGGAGGTCACAGAGCTAGAATTCAACTTCTGGGGAGGTCCCAAGAGGCACGTAATCTCTGGCCCCAAAAAGAAGGGGTGTGCCATAGCCTAATAGCCTGTTTCCTCTCAAGACTGGGAAGGAAGGGGGAAGAGCAGGAGCAAGCTAGGGGCCATACTCTTTACCCCCTTCCCCCGGCCTTCCCTGCCTCACAGACTATCTTGAAGCCACATCCCCATACTCTAGTGAACGGGTGGCAGTGTGGGGCTGTGACTTATCAGTCCAGGCCCAGGCCTCAGGCTTCCTGCCTGGGCGGGGCCTAGCTCCTCAGAAGGCAGGGGGCCTAGGGACTGGGGCTGCCAGCCCCCCATTCAAAGGCCTCAATTTCTCCCACCCTTTCCTACTGGGTGGTCGCCTTCCTGGGTTCCTTGCATTTCTACCAGGAACACCCGCCTCGTTAAAGTAGCCCTGCTCTTGTGGAAGTGGGATACTCTGGCTGGCGTGGCCCCGGCTGGGCATTTTCTGCCCTCTGAATATGGCATTCACTGCTGAGTCCCACAGCCCCATCTGATCCCTGCCCTGAAAGCACAGATCTGGGGCCTGGCACAGCTTCAACAGTCCCGTGTGGCCGGAGAACCAGGGCAGGAGTGCCTGATGTTGCCTACATCTCCCCACTTCTGTTAGTGCAACCAGGACACTGGGGCGTCCCTTCCCTGCCCCCAACCTCTGACTTCTGCCCAAAGCCAGCTCCTCCGGACGGACGGCCTAGGGCTGGGGGAGTCAGGTCAGTTCCTCCCAGATGCTTTTGGCCCTGGAGCCCCCCCCCCACTTCCTCTCCGCAGCCATCTCTGGCCTCACTTACCCCAGTAGTGCATTGCTTCATAGGGGTTCCTCTCCACGGATGCATGGCCAATGACAGACAAGTGGTCTCCAAAGTGAGTGATGGCTGCCATGGTGGCCGTAGAGAGGCCCAGCAGCTGAGAGTGAGGTGGGCTCATCATCAGAGCTGGGGACAGTGGCAAAGGCCCTCCCGCAATGACAGAGTGTAGGGCCTGGGCTTCTGGGCTCCCCCAGCCTGGCTCCCTCCAGGAGCAAGGCTGCTGCAGGAGGCCTCCGTGTTTCTGTGGATGGGAGGGACAGGTCCTCCCACAGACATGCTGCCACACACAGAGAGAAGTCCACACCACACATACTTGCACCCGTTTTCTCTAAGGACTCAGAAGATCACATCAAACTGTCTGCAGAGACCCTGCGGTCCCTGTCCTCTCCCGGATCCCCGGTAGCACCCCTTCCTGGCAGTCCCTGTGCACTCCAAACCACCAGCCAACCCAGGCTCTCCCAGGCTCTTCACTGCCCCTTGGGGTAACAGCTGGGCCTACAAGGACAGGTGTCCACAGTCCTCTAAGGTGGCCACCAGGGACCCAGACCCAGTCTGTGGGACTCTGGTGTGGGGGGAGGGGAGCTCACAGTGCTGGAGGGCCTGGGCATGGTGAATTATTTCCCCTACTGCCCACCTACCCACCCACTCCTTCTGTTCCGCTTGCATGTTACCAAGACAAAGAAGTTGGTGATCAGTATCTGGCATTTGGCAATCTTGATTCGATTCCAGTGCTCCATGATGGTCCTCTCCTCTCCACTCCTCTCCTCTCCTCTCCTCTCCTCTCCTCTCCTCTCCTC